GGAAATGGGCGACCCTCAGTGCCACAAAGGCTGACCTCATGGTCCCTCCATGTGGCTGCTGACTGGATTCTGCATTCAGAGCAGGGGAGATGGTCCTGGGAATGAGCACCAGAAGACTGTGTGTCTGTGCTTGAAGCACCGCCAAGGCCGGTTGGGTGTGCGTTCTGTTAGGTGCTTGTTCTAACCTGGCTCCTGGGCTCCTGGTGGGTCCATGGGAAGCCCCCTACCCCTTGGGCCTGGACCGGTTCCCGCTGTTGCAGGGCCCGGCTTTCAGTGGCTCCTTTGAGGTTTCCCTCCCCACCAAACTCAGAGTTACCCTTTCTTACTCCTTCCCATGCTGCCCTCTAGAGATATAGGGGCGGTAGATGGGAAAGAACACAGTTATCAGAGAAGAGGCAGTGATTTCAGGCTTTTATAAGATGCTTCTAGTCTGGGCCTGGAGTGGGGTTCCTGGCTCCCTTCAAAGATATAGCGCCTGGAAACCCAGTTCACTGGGGGTGGGGTAAGAGTGTCCCTTCCGACACCTTGACTAAAGGTCGAAGGTGTGTTGGGCTCTTCCCTCTGTGAAGGGCACTCTGCAGCTCTGGACAAGAAGCAAGCCGGCCAGGCTGCAGTGTGCTGGCTTGAGCAGACCTCCAGTCCAGTGCCGCTGATCTCTGGGGCCCTACTCAACATGGAAAATATGCCCTTGGAAGGCATTTCCTCTTTAACTCAGGGGCAGTTCAAGGTTTAACACAGGAGATTCAGGGGCTCTGGCTGCCAGGGTTTTTTCTTAATTTTTTTTCTATGCTATGGTGATAAGTACATAAAGGACAATCATTAACTCGATAATCATATAATCCCAGAATTAGAAAGAACTTCTGGTCACTAATCCCACCCCACCCGCCATGTACCCCTTGGTTTATCTGTCCTAATGATTTTCTGAGCAGGTTAGGGCTGCACCATCTATCTCTCTATGGGTCAGTACTTCAATTATTAATTGAGCACCTACTGTGAGCCAGGAACTATACTAGGGACTGATAAGGTGTCTGCTCTCATGGAGCTTATCTTCTGAAGGGCAGAGTTGAATGCTAAACCAGGAGACAGAGTAATTATAGGTTCGGTTGTCTGCTTAGGCCTGGGTAACGTGGGAGAGAGGCTGAAATGCAGGTGATGATCAAGTCACTTGTGCTTTTTTCTTTTCCTTTTTTAAAATTTATTGATTTGAGAGAGGTAGCAGGGGGAGAGAGGGGAAAGGGCTGGGGTAGAGAGAGAGAGAAACTTTGATTTGTTCTGCTTGTTTATGCATTCATTGGTTGCTTCTTGTATGTGTCCTGACTGGGGATCGAACCTACAACCTTGGTGTATCAGACGAAGCTCTAAGCAACTAAGCTACCCAGCTAGGGCACACTTGTGCTTTTTCCTATGAAACAGGAAAATACAGACCTAGTTTTGGTGTTGTATCCATTTTCTTGAGCTTATCCTTCTCAGCGCTCATCATTTAATAGTACATTAGTAGTTTATAATATTTAAAATGAGACATTAAAATTTACTGTCCTTCATATAATATTATAGAACTGCCACTTATTGAGTGTTTGGTATGTGCTGTATGTGCACTTCCTGAATGCTTCCTCTGTATTAATCCATTAAGTCCTCACAGCAACACATGGGGGACACAAGCATCAAAGAGGTTGAGTAACTTGCTCAAGGTCACAGAACTATTGAGTACAGAGCTGGGTTCTGAACCCAGGAAGTCTGGCTCCCCAGTTTAATCTCTTAACCACGTTGCTGGGCCCTCTTCTGTTGTATTTGAAGATGTCTTCTCAGATCCATGATGTGAACTGGGAGAGGCTTTCCTAATGAAACTGCTAGTACCTTACATTTTATAAGGCCTCAGAGTCTCTAGGCTCAGTGACAGATTTTTGTAGGGTGAGTGGGAACTGAAGCCTAAATGTGAATTGGGTGTTCTTTGTGTTTTTCCAAACAAGCCTTCATTTTGACTAGCAGGAAAAAAGTTCCCAACCTACTACTCACTGAAGGATTATGATTCATTGAGGTCTGGTTGTGCAGGTGTTCTGTATTAGACATGAGAGAGACAGTTACGATTCGATAACCAGGAGCACCTGCTCGCAGCCAGGCCTAACCCTGGCCGCCTCTTGTCCCACCAGAGGTCTCTCAGCATTTCTGTCCTTCTTTTAAGCATTTTTTTAGTTGAAAAAATTATATAGTGGAAATATTTTTTAAAGTTTGGATGGAAAGAAAGCCCTAGTCAACATTATTTTTACCAGAGACTCCCAACTATGTGGCTTCCCATGGACCCACCAGGAGCCCAGGAGCCAGGTTAGAACAAGCACCTAACAGAACGCACACCCAACTGATGCCTCTGTGGGTTCAAGTTATGCCATTACTCTGGTATTACTGTTCTCATTTTTGCTTATTACCTTTAGTCTTTGTCTAATTTTTTTTTATCTCCTTACAGTAGCCATGTTAAAAAAAATCCATCTTTGTCTAAGAAAAATTCACATACATAAAGTGACAGTGAGAAGTGGATTTTTTCCCCAATTTAAAAATGTCTTTTCTAATTAAAGAAGTAGGACATGTCCTTTATAAAAAATTTGGGAAAGAGGCAGATTTTTATACCTCTAAAAAGTAAATTGATTTCTAAAGAACAAGCAATATGAGCCACAGAGCAAAGAATTCTGGGCAGATGTGAGGTGGGCCTTCCTCAAGTTGCCTGGGATGAACTTTGCTCTGGATGAAGTCCAAGGGCCCAAACAGGGGAGCGGGAGCGGGCATGTCTTGCCAGGTTCAGTCCTTTCACATGGATGAAATGGTTCCTCAAAGCCTCACGGGAACTTTCTGAAGTGTATCATGGCTTAGTGTGAGTTTTCAGGGGAAGGTGGGAAACCATTCTCCTTGAAGGGTTTATGTAGCTCCACTTCTGTCAGCCGTTAGAGAGCAGGAGTGGGGATGCTAGTCATTGAAATTGCTCGTTTCTTCCCCCTTCCCTCCCTGCTCTGTATGCAGTGGTCTGGTGCCCCCCAAACGCAGCCGTGGGAAGCCAGCCTTGTCTCGAGTGCCCTTCCTGGAAAGTGTGAACGGAGACTCTGACTACAGTGGCTCAGGTGAGGAGCAATATACAGATGGATTTGGGGGGTTGGGGACAGGTCTTCCAGAGAACCAGCTCTGTGGTCTGGCTGGACTGTGAGCTCTTCGAAACCCTCAGGCACTGGGCAGGGTCTTCCTTCCCAGGTCATTCATAATCATTTTTATTTTCCCCCCAATTCCTCTTACATTTGAATTGGTAATATATGCCTATGGTAACAAAAATCATCATCAGAAAGGTATAAAGGGTGAGTCCCCTCCCTAGAACAACCACTGTTGGCAGTTTCTTTTGTCTTTCCAGCTGTAACCCTTACACACACAAGCCAAAACGCCCGTGTACATGCAGGAGAGTGACTAGAGACGCCTACTCCACATGTGCCCCTCTAAACCAGGGCTGGGGACTGTCGGGCCCGCAGGCCGTGTAAGGCCTGCAAATCATTTGTTCTGGGCCTGACAAGGCATTAGGGGTGAGTTAATTAAATGTTTGACCAAATATAGCAGGCTAATTTGTAAGTTGATAATTTTGTATGGCCTGTGAATGATGTCTTAACTATCCAAGTGGCCCTTGGCAGAAAAAAGTTTCCCTACCCCTGCTCTAAACCATGCTTTTTTGTTTTCAGTTAATAATATATCCTTAGAGACCCTTCTGTGGGTTTTATCGTCTGCCTAATGTCCCATTATAGAGGAGTGCATCATTGACTTAGCCAGCCCTCTACAGATGCACATTTCAATTGTCTTCACTGATGTGCTATAATCAGTGTTTCAGTGAGCAACCTTGTACATAGATCATTTTGTATCTGTGGGGGGTGTATCTATAGAAGTGGAGTGGCGGTATTGAAGGAAGTGTGCATTTGTCATCTCTGCAAATACTGCCTGTCTTCCCTCCCTGGCATCATCTGTGATAGCCTGTATCCCTGAATCACACACGTGACCTGTCATTTCATGTGATCCAGTGCTTCCAGCCTTCTCCTCATGACACACACTGCAGCTGGTCCAAACAGTGAAACGCGTGGGTCTTTTCTCCTTAGACAGAGGGGATAAAGGGCAGGGCGGGCCAAAGGAGAGGCCTGGGTGCTGCTCAGGACGAGCAGATGCAGAGCAGGCAATTCTCTGAGCACCTGTCCGCCCGCCTGTGGCAGGTGTGCCCTCTCTGGATGCCTGTCTTTAAAGCTTTCATCGGGCTGCAGGGCTTTTCGTCTCTTTCCTTTTCCCAACCGCGTTATCTTCCCTTGGCTTCCCTGTTTTTCTTGTATGTGTTGATGAATGCAAGCCTGCGTGTTTCATTACTGTCCGACTATCAGCACCCAGGAGGCAAGGCTCACGTCTAGATACAAAATTAGGAGAGGATTGGCATGTACTTTGTGCTTCTGCTGGTGACATTTTGATATTTTATTCTTATTTTTAAAACCACATACTTCTTAAAATGCAACTGAAGGAAATTGACCTCCCACTGTTTCATCATCTTAGCATAGTTGTCTTCATTTCTGTGTTGCCTTCTACTCTTTCAGACATGTTTTTAACAAAATGCTAACCTAAAACACATGCTCTTCTGTATTCTCCCTTTTTCAATGTTTTCTTCATATCAACATAATCTTTATGTGTCTTCATCATTAGAACAATGTATTTTTCAATCAGTTCATTATAATTAACCCTTCCGCCCTAGCTGGTTTGGCTCAGTGGATAGAACTTCGGCCTGAGGACTGAAGGAATCCTGGGTTCAATTCCGGTCAAGGACATGTACCTTGGTTGCAGACTCCCAGCCTTGGTTGGGATGTGTGCGGGAGGCAGCCAATTGATGTGTCTCTGTCACATCAATGTTTCTCTCTCTCTCTCTCTCTCTCTCTCTCTCCCTCTCTCCCTCCCTCCCTCTCTCCCGCTCTCCCTCTCTCCCTCTCTCCCTTTCTCTTCCACTTTCTTCTACTCTCTCTAAAAATCAATGGAAAAATGTCCTTGCATGAGAATTAAAAAAAAAAAAAATTAAAAAAAAATTCAACCCTTCAATTGTTAGACACTTGATTATTTCCGACTTTATACATAGTAAACCGATATTTTTGTTCAAAATCTTTTTATTTGGTTTTGAAGTTATCTTCTTCGACTAAGTTTCCAGGGAAGGAATTTACTGGAGCAGATGGTTCATACATTTTTTGATGGCTCTTGAGACTTACACCAAATTACATTCTGGAAGGATTGGCTGGTCTGCAGTTCCCTCAGCCTGCCTCTGCGGGATTGGGTGTTATTTTTTTGTTGTTGTTGCTATTTTATTGACTCAATAAGTAGAAACAATACCTCATTATTAGTAGTACATTTTAAAATCATAAGTGGGGGTGGTAATGTTTCCTTAGAAACATAATTTCCACTCTGAGATTTGGGCCTTTTCCCTTGGTTTCCCTGATTATAGTTATGCAGAGGGGATGGAAGCTCCTCTGTGTGTTCAGATGCTTTTGTAAAGCGCCCACCCATGCGTGCTAGTGCATTGGGTGCAGAACAGAGGAAACTGAAGAGACGTGCCTGCCCCAGGTGGGACACCCAGTGTGAGGTTTGATAAAAGAGGCAGGGGAAGGCCCTGCAGACCTGCTTGGCCCTGCTGAGTGCTGTGATCCAGGTGACCTGTGGCCAGGTGTGGCCGTGTCAGAAAAGAACTCACTTAGCAAGTGGTTTTGCTGGGAAGTCTGTCCCGGGCGTCTTTTTCCATGAAGCCTCCATCATGAGGACTCCACTTGGAGGTCCAGGGAGCAGTCTGTGGCTCTTCCCAAGCTGTGTGATGGTTCTTCTCCCCGGGGCCCTGGTAATGAAGCAGTTACATTTTTCCAAGGAGCACTATCCAGAGGTCAGCAAAGTATAACCTGTTGCCTGTTTTTGTAGAGCCCATGAGCTAAGAATGGTTTTTATGTTTTCAGGTGATTGAAAAAACACACCAAAAAAATGATATTTTGTAATATGTGAAAATTACAAGAAATTCAAATTTCAGTTCCAAAAGTAAAGTTGTATTGGGCTACAGCCACACTCATCCATTTGCAGATTCTCTATGGCTGCTTTCTTGCTGCAAAGCAGAGTTGAATAGCTGCAGCAGAGACCATGTGGTCCACAAACCTAAAGTATTTACTCTTGGCCCTTTATGGACCAAGTTTGCCAACCCCTAATCTAGTCAAAGAGCTTCCGAGGAAGGGGCAGGGATGGGGAAGGGTGGAGGGGCTGTTTCTGACTCATTCCTAGGCTGCCCCAGTCAAATGGAGGCCACAGGCAGGCCTCCTGGGCAAAATTCCAAGTCCCCTTTGGGCACTGTCTCCTCCCCTCCCCCACCCCCAGGCAGAAGCCTCCTGATGCCCTTTGAAGACCGTGGAGACCTGGAGCCCCTGGAGCTGGTGTGGGCCAAGTGCCGAGGCTACCCCTCCTACCCTGCCTTGGTGAGTCTGCCCCAGATGCCACCCTCCTCCCTCCCCTGGGCGATTCTGGCCCCTGCCTTGCCCCAGGGGCTTATCTGATTGGATCAAGCCATCAGAGTGTGGTGGGAGTCAGGCGCCTTCCAGCCTTGGGTAGGTCAAACCAGCAAGGCTCCCAGCTTGGGAAAACAGAGACTAGAGCTCTTAGGAATTTATTTGCTAATGCATAAAACTAATATGTGCTCACTGTAGAGAATCTTAAAAGCTGCTAATCATACTTAGATGTTTTATTAAACATTTGTCATGCTAATTCTTGAAATATTGAGGAAGGTAGGTTATTTTCATTTTTAGGGGGAAAAACCTAGGATCCATTTGTTACTCATGTCATCTAGCTATTAAGTGGCAGGGTTGCAATTTGAGGTAGAGCTTAAAATGTGTGATGCCTGTGTTCTGAGCCACTGAGTTCAAAATCACCTATAGTCCCTTCTGTTCAGAGATGACCTTGTTGTATATCCACTTAGTCTTTTTTTGTTGTTCAACGCATAGGTATGTGCATATGTAAGACCATGGTCTATTTAACCTCCCTTTCACTTAACAGCACACCATGCACTTGCATGTCTCATGCCTTCAAACACTCTCCATCAATATCGCATTAATGACTGCATTGTCTTCAGTCCTGTGCATGTACTTACCTTATTTTAACCATTCCCTCATTGCTCATTTAAGTTGTTTTGGATTTTTCACTCTGATAAATAGCCAACAAGAAATATTGTAGTTTTGCCTTTGTACATATCCCTGATTATTTCTTTACAGGGAATTCTTAGGAGTGCCTTCTTGAGGCAAAGTCGATACAAATTCTGATACAAATTGCCAAGTTGCCCTTTAGAAAGTTGCAGTTTATACTCCCACCAGCAGTAGCTAAAAATTCTATTTTTTATGATGTTGATTGCTATTCTTAGAGCTCTTTATGTATTGGGGAGGTCATGTCCATCTGGCCCTGGAAGATGCTGCTTCTAACCTTTGGGGTTTGTCAGAATCGTCCAGGGGAATTTTTAAACAATGCAGATACTGATGGTCCATCTCAGAACTACCACATTAGACTCTCTGAGGCCAGACTGACATGACTATTTCTTAAAAGCTTCCCAGATGATCTGTAGCCAAGTTTGAGAACCACCACCAACCTCGTGTGTGCACACAGAGCTCATTCATGTGTGTGGCTCTTTCCAGTAGCCTCTTAAAGGAGGGTAAGATCCTTACTGGACAGGTAAGGAAACCACAGGTCCAAGGCTATACACCTTGCTGGAGCCCTCCTGGAACCCAGGTAGCCAGCCTCACTGCCTTAGCAGTGGCAGGCGTTGGAATCCATGCTGTCACCCGGCCACTGAGGAGGCTGGGCCCAGGGCTGGCCTCCCAATGCTCTGTGCCCTGCTGCTGCTGAGACTCCCAGCTTAGTCCCTGGAGAAGTGATCAAGGCTGTGCAGGTTTTGTGTTTTTTAATGTCACTGCAAAAAAAGCCACTAAAACTAATCTTTTTTTTCTAATTACCTTCTTAATGATACATTTTCTTTCGTGATTAAAGAAATTCAACCATCGCTTGAATCCAGTCACCTGAACACAACCTGTGTTATGTTGGTTTATACTCTCCTGTGCTTACTTAAATGTGTACAGTTGACCTTCGAATAACATGGTTTTGAACTGTGTGGGTTCACTCACTCTTGTATTTTTTTTCAATAAACACACAGCTGGCCCTCTGTAGACCCAGGGTTCCCATCTGCAGGTGCAGAGGGCTGACTGTATAAGGGACTTGACCATCCTCAGATTTCGGTAACCACAGGGGTCCTGGAACCAACCCCCCATGGATACCAACAGACAAATGTAGTTAAGTTTTGGGGGAATCAAAAGCTATACTCAGGTTTTCAACTGCACACAAGGTTGGCGTCTCTAACAGCTGTGTTCAAGGATCAGCTGTACTTGCATCCATAGTGGGTATACAGTTTTTAAATTTAGGATTTTTTAATGGGTTTTGCTTTTCTATAAAGTAATGTATCTAATTATAGTAGTTTTGGAAAAATAGAGAAAAGCCACATAAATCCCCACCGTCCTAACAAGCCAACTGTAAGCATTTTGTGTTGTTCCTTCTGTTTGTTGTTTACATATTACAGTTGTAATAGTGAATGCACACATTTATTATGTTAACGTTTATCACAAACTTTATTTCCGTGTCATTTGACATCTGCGTAACATTTGAGTGAATGGACCGGCATGTATTAGTTTGGGCCCATTCGCCTCTGTCTGCTTTAAGAAGGGAGCAGAGCTCTCCTGGGTGGCAGCTTCCCTGCCTTGCTCCTGCCGGGAGGGACATTCCTCACTGTCCACCCACCGCCCATGAGCCACATGGCTGCGTCAAGGGGAACATCAGTCGTGGAGGAAGCTCAGGAAGCTTGTATGTTGGCTTCCACTAGGCCCCTGAGCTTCAGTCCCAGGAGGGACAGTCAGGCTGGCAGGTGGAGTTTTGACCAAATCACACAGCGGGGACAGGGTAGGTGTGGTTCTTCCTGGGAGTAAACTCTTAACCAGAGCTCCTGCTTTCAGCTGCTTGTCTCGGAGGGATGTAGAGAGGCTGGCCGACACCCGAAGGTAACGAAAAGGGTGGTTTGTTGTGGAAGAGGCCCTGGGACAGGGCTAGCAGCTAAGATGGCTCCATCTCTGGAGAAAGCTGCTCCCTGAGTAGGTTTCCAAGTCCTTCTGGCCTTAGCACACGCAATGGTCAGCCGGTTGCCTGGAGGAGGGGCTGTGTGCAGGCAGTGGGCAGCAGAGGCCCAAGCCGGTTCAGGTGCTTGGGTTTAGGCCCAGCCGTGGCCTCAAGCAGCCACAACTCCTGTGCCTGGCTTCCCCTCAGCTAATACCTGTCCGAGACTTCTCAGCATCAGCAAGAGGATGAAATGAGCTGGCCAGGTGTGACTAATGAGGAGCTTCGGTGGCTCTGTCGGTGCTCCATGGCGCTGGAGAACGGTGGTTGTTGGTTACCGGGCATTTCGCTGAGCCCCTGCCCTGTGCCACATGCAGCCTTGAGGATGCATTAGTCCAGTGGCCCTGGGTTCAGCCACGCCATTGTCCCCTCCAGCAACCCAAGCTCAGTCTCCCAGCTTCTCTCTTATCTTACGTGGAGGTGTCACAAACGTTCCTGGTCCACACACCAGGGAGAGTTATAGTCAGACAAGAAGGCACTGGGTAACCAGAGGCTGTTAGGCTAGAACCAAAGGATGGGCCCCTGCTGAGGCAGAACTCTTCATAGCTGGGTGTCTGGGAAGGCCCTGAGCATCTGCAAGGTTCTAAAGGAAAAATGCCTCCACTCCCCTCCTCTCAGGGACACTGGGAGGAAGGAGTCTGCCTGTCTGCGCTGGATATCAGAGACTCCCCTCCTCTCAGGGACACTGGGAGGAAGGAGTCTGCGCTGGATATCAGAGATACCCACTCACTTGCCTCCCCCAGGCTGGGCTCCCATCACTTCTGTTTCAGCTCTGGGCCCTGACAGTTCAGGGAGCAAGCTTCTCCCTCTTCTGAAGGACTGGGGGGCAGGGCCAGAGGATTAGGACAGTGAGCTGGGGAAATAGTCAGTCTTCATTTTGGCGTACTGAGGGTCGTGGGAGAAGTTTACCTCTGTCGCTTGGTTGTGGGGTGGTTTGGTGGTTAGTCCTGGGGCGGGCTGCCCTGCTCACCCCGTCCACCTCCCGCTGAGTGCCGTCTCCTTTCCTGCCTCCAGATCATCGATCCCAAGATGCCCCGGGAGGGCCTCCTGCACAATGGCGTCCCCATCCCTGTCCCCCCACTGGATGTGCTGAAGCTGGGAGAGCAGAAACAGGCCGAGGCTGGAGAGAAGCTCTTCCTTGTCCTCTTTTTTGACAACAAGCGCACCTGGTGAGTGGGTGCTGCTGCTGGGAAGGTGCAGAGTGCAGGCTGAGGGCTGCGCAGAGTCTGCGTTGCTGAGAGATGCACAGAAGTGCAGGTGAGGCGCTACCTGCCAGCAGCTGGCCTGCACTTGCCACGTTAGTAGAACTTAGTGTTACTAACAACACTGATTAGTAGTGTTAATAGTAACTGAGACCAGACTCCCTGGGAAAACTCTGACATGGCAATTTGATTCAGGAGGCTTACTGGGGAGAGCTGTGGGACCAAGGGACACAGCACTGGGGGAGAGCTGTGGGGATGAGGGACCCAGCATTGTGGGGAAGCTGTGGGGATGAGGGATGCAGCATTGGGGGAAGCTGTGGGGTCAAGAGACGCAGCATTGGGAGAAGAAAATGTTGAACTGTGGTGCTCTTGCCATAGAGGCTTCAGCTGATCTTACGGGAGCTCTAGAGCTAGGTGGCTCGTTAGCCATGTCAGAAATTGAGGCTGTGCCTTTGTACCCCCAGGCCAGCTAGTCATTGAATGCTGGCTGCCCCTGAGGGATGAGGGATGCAGCATTGTGGGGAAGCTATGGGGATGAGGGATGTGAGGGATGCAGCATTGGGGGAGCTGTGGGGATGAGGGATGCAGCATTGGGGGAAAGCTGTGGGGATGGGGGATGCAGCATTGGGGGAAAGCTGTGGGGATGGGGGATGCAGCATTGGGGAAGCTGGGGATGAGGGACGTAGCATTGGGGAAGTGCTGTGGGGATGAGGGATGCAGCATTGGGAAAGAGCTGTGGGGATGAGGGATGCAGCATTGGGGGAAGCTGTGGGGTCAAGAGACGCAGCATTGGGAGAAGAAAATGTTGAACTGTGGTGCTCTTGCCATAGAGGCTTCAGCTGATCTTACGGGAGCTCTAGAGCTAGGTGGCTCGTTAGCCATGTCAGAAATTGAGGCTGTGCCTTTGTACCCCCAGGCCAGCTAGTCATTGAATGCTGGCTGCCCCTGAGGAGGGAGGGACCTTGGGCCAGGCAGCTCCCTCATGGTAGGTGATTCCTGGAGAGAACCCAGCTGAGAGCCTGTCAGCTGCCGCACACCCAGTGGCTGCAGGAATTCTGTCTCAGTCCTGGGCCAGGGGCTGGGCCGCAGGGCCCACTGCGAGGCGTGCTTGCTCATTGCTGGTGAGCACTTCAGGCTGCTCTCAACACCAGCAGGAGCTTCACCTTTGCTTCCATAGAATGAGGAGGTAGGAGGAGCTAGGAAAAACGATAATAACGATGAAAATAGCTGCCATTTATTGTGTTTACTCAGTGTCCTTAATGTGAATTACTTTGCATTTATCCTCATTTATATATTCATTGGGTTCCCCGCCCCCCCTCCCCCGCCCATTTTGTAGATGAGGAAAGCCAGGGCTCCACAGTCAAAACTAACATACAAACTCAGATCTGACCTGAAGGATGGGCTCTTAGCCACAGGTTAGATTCACCTGGTGAAGTACCAGGTTCAGGCCCCAGGGTTGAGTTTATTAATGCCTGGCAGCAGCCCCACTTCCTAGCAGAGCTCCCTGATTCTGCAACAGGGCGAGCCCGGAGCCCTCCGATGGCTCAGCCAGTCCCAGAGGCAGCACATGGGCCTGTCCTAGCTCCTGCCCTGACTACCTCCTAAGCAGAGGGAGCAGAGAGGGGGCTGACAGCAAAAACGGGTCCCCTGGTGGCCTCCTTTCTGAGGTGTCCCAGTCTGCCTCCTCCTGCCTGTCCCTTCCCCACTATGCGCTGGTCCTGGGCAAGCAGGTGCTGAGGGCACCCTCGTGGGACCAACTCACCAAGGCCCAGGCATCTTACTGTGCTTGTATTTTAGGCAGTGGCTTCCAAGAGATAAAGTCCTGCCCCTGGGCGTGGAAGACACCGTGGACAAGCTCAAGATGCTGGAAGGTCGCAAGACGAGCATCCGCAAGTCGGTGCAGGTGGCCTACGACCGAGCCATGATCCACCTGAGCCGCGTCCGGGGGCCCCACTCCTTCGTCCCCTCCAGCTACCTGTAAGGGCGGGGCCGGCCTGGGTCTGCCTGCTCTGCCTCTGTCCCCTTCATAGCAGGCCAGGGGCTGCCTGGGCTGAGGCCCCAGTTTTGACAAACTGCATGGTCCCCCTGTTGGGCCTACTGTGTGCCAAAAACTCCCACCTGAGCTCCCTCAGGGCTGGTCCACTGAAGAACCAGTTAGAAGTAGAAGCAGCTGGGAGGCCCAGCGAGGAGAGGGACCTGGCCTCAGAAGGTGGGTTCCGTGCTCTTTAGGGTGTGCGGCCCCTCCGCCCACTCCCAGGTAACCACACCTCAGGTGAGCGAGGCGCTGACATTGACCCCAGAGGTGCTGTGGATACACTCGGGTCCCGTGGGGAATGTCAGTGAGCTCACCCCCCCCTCCCCCCTGCCCAAATCCTCCAATCACCCATTCTCACACCTCTTCCCTGTCCCATCTGCACCTCCGCCCAGTCTGTCCCCTGTTCCTTTCCTTTCTCTTGTGCCAAACTGACAGAAACCATTACCAAATCGGTCTTTGTGTTTCCCTTTGAGGCCAGCTGCTATGCTAGGTGGGTGCCTCCGCCTGGCTCCTCGGGGCCCAGAACAGAGGCCAGCCTGCCACTCGGGTGACCCCTCCACCAGCACATGCCCCCCGCCCCCTGCGGTTCCCCCTCCCGCTGACCCTTACATCTGCAGACACCCAGCTGTGAGCGCTTCCCCCTTGGATTGCGGGGGGCCTCCCGCCCTCGTCCTGTCTGGCCAAGAGGCAGGCTGAGGCTGGGCGGCTCCTGTCAGCAGACGGGCTGGACGTGCAAGTGTCCACCTGCCCACTTGGAGGTGAGGTTTGTTGAGGTGGCGCCCGTCTGCCCTTCCTTCTTCCTCTCCGCTCCTCGGGGGCTTTTTGTTTTCTGCAACGGCGGCCTCTCGCCCCGTCCACCCCATGGACAGCGTGGTGCCTGCAGTGCAGTGTCTTCCGGCCCGGGTTCCGCCTGCCCAGCCTGGCCGCCCCGCTTCCCAACTCCAGGGAAGCCTGCACTTTTATTTCAGACCCTCTGCCCTCCCTCTTCCCCCTCAACACCTCCCCCCACCCCCCCATCACCTTCTCAAAAATGGAAGGAAAAAAGCTGTGAAACGGGAAGCTGACTGACCACCCACGACTTTCAGAGGCTTCGATGTTCTCTGGGTGTTTCCTCTCACCTCTTAGGCACCAAAGTCTCGGGCCAGGGTGCAGGCCACTGATTGCCATGTTGATTTTTAACCTGACGTTCTTTTTAATTGTTTTAAATTTTTCATAGGGGAGTTTTGGACAAAACGAAGTCACTGGGGAGATTACTGCCATTTTTACACACACGAGTTTTTAAAAATACAATCAACCAACCACCACAACTTCTTATACATTTGGGACACGAGCCAGAGTTTTAAAGGGAAGCGACAAAACTATAACACCAAGGATGGGGTTTGGCTTTTGTACAATACTCAAAATACAATGCAGCATATGGCTAGGGAAGGACACGGTGTATATAATTGTAAAATATTGCTCTAAATTATTCAGGCCTCTAGTTTCCATGACTAGTCCTCCATTGTGTGGCTGAGTATTTTAAGTGCACACAGTGTGGTATTTAAGGAGCCAGTGCACCCCTCTCCCCAGGTAGTCAGTCGGCTGTGACTCTGTGACCTTCGTCTCAACCTGTGTTGTAAGATCTCGGGGCTTTCTCTATTTCTCCTCTTTCTGTGTGTATCTCTTCCCTCTGACACTTTCTCTCTCTCTGAATCTTTCTCTGAGTCTCATTTTGAAAACTGCGCTTTTGGAATGGGAAACGGCTCAGATCCTGCTGTGGCGTGGGGCCTGCGTGCCTCAGTCGCGTCTGCTGTGAAGCACACGATGCTCTATTTATTGTAGAAAGTGACTTTATTTGCTTTCTAGAATTGTTTATAACAGATGGTATAAGAGAGGTAATAAACAGAAAATCTATGCTTGTAAAGAGTACAGAAGTTAATTTTACCTACTATAATATGACTGTCTGGAATTATTTTCTCTCTGAGAAATAAATGTTCTAATGGGCAGCAGTTGCTGTGTCGGTTGGTGTCTTCTGTGGGTGGCTGCACCGCTCTCCTGAACTCCTCCAGCCTGCCCTCCTCAGGCCAGGGCCGTTAAGAATGGAGTTGTCTAGCCCGGCTGGTGTGGCTCAGTGGTTGAACCTCGACCCATGCACCAGGAGGTCACCTATTGGATTCCTGGGCAGGACACGGGACTGTGGGCCCAATCCCCAGTAGGGGGTGTGCAAGAGGCAGCTCATCGATGGTTCTCTCTCATTGATGTTTCTCTCCCTATATCCTTCCCTTCCTCTCTAAAAATCATTTAAAAATAAAAAGACTGGGTTTGTCCAGCTGCTGCAGGCTCCCAGCTGGAGAGGGAGCCCTGGGACGCTGTGAAGACGGGCACCTCTGGGGGCTCTGGGAGCCAGTGTGGCTCCCAGGCCTCGGGGCCCTGTGGCTGTGTGCCTTTGGAGCACGTGCTCAGACAGTGGGAGAAGGGCCCTGTGGACATCAGCCCCTGTTCACCAAGCTATGGAATTCTACTCGGATGCTCACACCTCCTTTGTCCATTAGGGATCCTCGAGCCAATTGGGTCTTCCTTTTGCAGATGAGGAAACCTACCACGATTAAAAGACTTGTCCACGGTCAGCCAGCCAAGAAATGGCAGAACCCTAGGAAGGACCTGGCCGAGGCTTGTCTGCGGCTGCACTCATTCCAAGGCCGTGCTGGCCTGTTGTGTACCTTTCTCCCCCTCAGCAGCTGTGGCTCCAACATTCCTGGGAAGGCACATCCCGGAGAATAGAGCCGGGCTTCTCCCCGCAAGGTTGCAGGTTCTATCCATGATCAGGGCACACACAAGGATCAACCAATGAAGGCACAGTGAAACAACAAATCGAAGTCTCCCTCCCTCTCTCTCTCCCCTCTGCCTTAAAATCAATTTTAAAAAAAGTTCACTGTGCTCACAGTCCTTATACATGCTGGGGGTGCAAAGCTACCCTCCCAGGATGCTACATCGCAGACAACTCTGAGACGGCGGGAGAGAGGTACCATGTTTGGTTGAGGGAATAAAAATTTCAAAAGAATGAAGCCTTGCCCTAACCGGTTTGGCTCAGTGGATAGAGCGTCAGCCTGTGGACTCAAGGGTCCCAGGTTCGATTCCGGTCAAGGGCATGTACCTTGGTTGCGGGCACATCCCCAGTAGTGGGTGTGCAGGAGGCAGCTGACCGATGTTTCTCTCTCATCGATGTTTCTAACTCTCTATCCCTCACCCTTCCTCTCTGTAAAAAAAATCAATAAAATATATTTTTAAAAAAGAATGAAGCCTTGAAAAAAAAATGGGGTTAAAAATCCCTATTTATAAATTAATATTTTGAATTTCAAAGGAAATTTAGAGCAAAATTACAAGCTCATCCTACAAAACAATTTGAAAACCAAGTAAAGGAAAAATGACCAGGTGGGTGGGATTTCAGCGGCGGATAGAGAAGGCGGTGTCCATCCAGGAGGTGCTGAAGCAAAGGCAGGGCTCAGGGAGGTGAGTGCACATTCCAGCTAATGACCACCTCGTTCGTCAGAAGAGGAGGTGGCCAGGCAGTGCCGGGAGCATGAGCCCTGTCATTCTGGCTGGGTGACCTCAGCATGGTCTTCGACCTCTGCGTCTCTCAGAGACTGACTTAATGGGACCCTAAGGCCAGGGTGGGGCATTAATGACTCAGGCTTAGGCAGCAGCATCCACTGAAAAATTGGAGCAGGAAAGAGGCTTGACTGGAACTTGGCAACTAATTAGAAATCAGAGTCAAAAAGATGGAATATTATTAAGACAGGGCCTCAGGGCGGCTGGAGGGAGCAGCAGTGGGTTGCAGGAGGAGGGAGAGTTTTGTTTTTCTTTAATACATTTTTATTGATTTCAGAGAGGAAGGGAGAGGGAGAGATAGAAACAGCAATGATGAGAGAGAATCAGTGATCAGTATCGAGCCTGAGAGACCCGGCATGTGCCCTGACCGGCAATCCAACAGGTGACCTCCTCATTCATTGGTCGACACTCAGCTACTGAGCCACCTGGGGCCGGGCCAGGAAGAGTTTTGGTTTTGATGAGTTGGCCTACAGGGCATCTGAGAGATGTGGGGGCACAGGAGCCCCCTCCAGGGCAGTTACAAGATGGCCAAGGAGGGAGGGGGAGGGCAGACCTAAGGACATTTAGGATGGAGAGGGTGCCCGCAGAGGGGCCTGGTCCCAGGAGGGCCTCACACCGCGTCAAGCTCTAAGATGCAGGCCCACCGGCTCGCCTCACTGAGGGCAGGTCAGACCTGCGGTCACAGCGGAAGGCGGATAGAACCCGGCATTTTCTACTCTGCAGGCCCACGACTCAGCCCTCAAGGTGAGCAGAAGGGTCCTTATTAATGAATTTTACCAATGCTGAGATTAGCATTTATGTACCTGAGACTCAAATATGATACTGGAGCACATGGGAGGCACTCTGACCAGGAACAGAAACTCATTTTCCTAACAAGTTTGGCCACTTCCAAGAATGTGTCAGTTTCCCTTGACACGGGAGTGTGAATGTGCCTTGCAGATGGATTCTCCTGACCTGGTTAGAGAAGAGGGGTGAGTGGGGAACCTGCCAGGCTCTGGGAGGGAGCTGGAAGGCGGGGCCCATCTACTCGGGTCTGCAGGCCTCCCTCCCTCGGTTGGGCACTGAGTGTAAACATCTGGTCCTGCCTGCTGCACCCCGTCTGGCCTTTACCAGAACTGGGACAAGGGAAGGGGGTCTTTGGGGGACGGAAATGGTTTCTCCAAAACCGGGGGCAGAAGTTTCTGCCTCAGTGTGTGGTAGGACGTGGGGCCGGAGAGGTGTGGTCCGCTGGCCGGAGCTGGAGGCGAGCTCCGATTCTACCTCGGCACTTGGGGTGCCCTTCTGCTTGCTCTCCCCTTCAAGGGTGGCAGAGGGCACGAGGGGTGGAAAGGAAAGAAATATATATAAAGTATGTTAATATGTTATTATTATATATATGTGTGTGCTGGTATTGTCTACAATTTTAATATTCTTAAGAGGGCTGGGACTCACAGGCACACAGAGTAGAAAAAGCTAATTTTCTATAGTTAATGTACTATAATAATACTATATACTATTATTATAATAATACAGTTAATAATACTGTATAAACCACTGCACACTTGAAAGTGGTTCAGAGAGTAGTAAATCTTCTCATCACAGGAAAAAATCTGTAACTATAGAAGGCGATGAATGCTAACCAGACTTATTGTGGTAATCATTATGCAACATATACAAAATAATTATGTTGCACACCTGAAGCTAATAAAATGTTGTATGTCAATTATACCTCCATTTTTTTAAAAAGCCAATTGTCCCCAAATCTCAGCAGGGTGGTTGCGTTGTTATTTCAGAGAGCGCTGTGCGTCCCTGGCCTGCTGGCTAGGAGTGGCGGGTGTCCGTCTAACTCCCTCACTTCTGAGGCGGGGTCTGAGTTCTTCCTCTCCCCTCTGCTTTGTACTGGCCCCTTTTGGGGGACACAGAGGCAGGATTGGGGATGCAGCTGATGGTTCCGGCTGGGCAAGGGGGCAGGGTGCAAGGGGGCTCAGGGGAGGGCTTCCCCCACCTTCACAGTCTAGAAAGACCCCTGAAGGATTGTATCTGAACTGTTCATGAAAGATGATTCAATTTGTTCTTTGCTATCCAATTTGGGAAATTTTTAAAAGAAGTGCAAAGGAGAAACTAAGATGATCCTAACCACCCAGAATAACTATTCCCACCATATTAATGACATTCCTTACAGTCCCTTGCTTTGTCTAGAGCACGCATTTTAGTTTCTCAAATGGGTAGCTGAGAACCAGCAGCTCTGAGAGGC